TCAAAGTTACTTGGTTTATTCAATAATGCAAAGTAGGCTCTTTATGCATTTTAGATGAGCAGTTGTTAAATTGTTGGTGAATTGTCTTTGGGACAAGTTAAAGACAAACACCCATTGAGGGTCCCTGTTAGAGTGAGAATTCTACTGAGCTAATGTCTGGCTTCATATGAATTGGGGTCTTGATCGTGAAAGTGAAAATGAATATGTAAGGTAACTGTAACAGTAGTTTAAAAAAACCTGTAAACTGTTCAGGTACTGACTGATTTATTTTTATCACCCCTCCCTTCCCTGTTGGTATTAGTGTTGCATTTATTGGGATGTTGCCATGTGAACTCTTGTGACCACAAGCTGAGATATTGGAACTATTTAAATAATCAGTGTTGTTCAGCATCGGGATCAGAGGCACCTTAAGTCCAGTGTAGTGCTAAACTTCATTTTATCATGCACAAACACATCAGAGTCAAATCCACACACACCACTTTCTGTTTGAACTAGCAGGAGACATCAAACAGAGAAACAGTAAGCAGCTGCTTATATATTTATCATTGATATTTGCATCTGATATAGAGTGGATTTAGCAGTTTGCTTGACTTAACTGATTTCACAAGGCAAAAATTATCAGAACACATTCAGTTCATTAAATCAAGGCATCAGACATCTAGTCAACTTCGCTGTATGTTTGTGTTAAGACATGTACAGCAGTTGCCATATTCTGCACTGTCTAGCGTGGCATCTACATAGGACCATAGGAGTTTCAGGGGAGAATAAATGAACAGGGCAAAGGGAGGAATGTGGAACATGAAGTTGAGATATACGGAGGAAGTAAAACTAGAACAATAGCAACCTGTAATAGAATTGATATACGGAATATTAGAGTGATGTTTTCTCCTACCCAGTTGGTTATGCCATAACTGAACTATTAATTTCAGTTCTGCAGGGGATGTGGAGAGGGAGGTGCTGATCTGTTCTCCCTGGGATCCAGTTACAGGACATTTGGGAACAGTTTACAGCTGCGCTGATGGGGTTTAGACTGGACATTAGGAAGCATTTCATTACTGAGAGAATGGTCAGACCCTGAAACGGGTTTCCTGGAGAGGCCGTTGATGGCAAGCCTGGCAGTGTTTGAGAGGCATTTGGACAATACTCTTGATAATTTGCTGTAGCTTTTGGTCAGCCCTGAACTGGTCAGGCAGTTGGACTAGATGCTTGTTGTAGGTCCCTTCCAACTGAAAGATTGTGTTCTAAAAAGACCAGTCTGTGTAAGAAAAGTGCATGGCATGACTATAAACACAGGAAAACCTCTGGCTTTTGGTGGATCGGTGGGTTGAATTAAAGGCCTATGAGCCTGTCAAAGCATGTAGCCGGTCCCTTATTAACTTAACCTGTCATAAAATCCTAACTTTCATTATGAGTGCATTTTTACCCCCCCACACTTTTCTTGTGAAAATAAAATTGATTCTTGCAAAAAAACCCAAACAACTCAAACCAAACAAAAATCTCAACCATACCCAAAACAAACACAGGTTCAAACAGTTGTGTAAACCTGGGGTTGCTAAGTGCTTTTCCTTTCTGCTGCAATAGCTTTCTGCAGCTGACCTTTTTTATTTGAGCCTTCACTTTCTCCCCCTGCAGTTTGTTACCCTTTACCTTAGGCATATGGAAGAACACCGGTTCCTCTCCCCAAATTGCTCTTTCATCTACTTTGCCTTGCAGCTTCTAGCACACTATCTCCTTGTCCTTGTATCCCAGATTTTTCTTACACCCTTGCTCTTTTCCCATCATTTCTTCACTTGATTTCTGGCAAGGATTTAATGTCCAATCAGCAAATAAGAATTTGGACCCTCCTCCAGGGGTAGGATTTATTTATGACCAATTACACAACGCCCATTGATTCTCTATGTAGAAAATGGGAGAATAATTTTGTCGGTGAAGGGGTGCCATTAATTCAGTTCAGGCCTAAGAATGTTACTCACATGGAAAGTTTGGTGTTAAGTCTTTTGACATTTGAACTGTGTCAAGAAAGATATTCAGGAAATGGTAGCTGCTTACGTGTTCTGAATTTTGAAGATAAAGATACAATGTCTAATTACCGGTTTACATAACATAGTATAATTGGTTGGAAGGTAAGATGACAATAATCTCTTCTTTCTTCTGTAGAGTTCACTTTAAAAAAATCCAAACTTCTAGATCTGTCTTTGTCTTCTATCCATCTCTATTTGCTAGTTTTCAAAAGGCTTTTCAGAGAAACTTGGCTAGACTGAAGAATAGTTGTAGTGTACTGTAATATTGTATTTTCAGGAGTAAAGCAGGTGACCTAGGATAGTTCTTGCAAATGAGTGAATGCGTGTGTGATACTAGCAAATAAGTGATTGAAATTACAGACTAAGATGTTTGTTACGGGATGGAGATTTTGAGCAGTTTAGAGAGTATGTGGAAGACAGGATTTTAACTACCACCTTTTTCTAATTTTTCAAGCAGCTCAGTAGAGCAGGGTAGGACCCCTTTTCCATTTCATTGTGGTTCCATGTTGATAAAGATGTCTCTATATTAAGTTCCCTATTGATGTGTTTGTCAATAATTATGCAATAGGTGAATTGCGTGAACTTTTAAACACAATTTAGAGTTCTCTTCTTTAGAAAACCTTCTTTTTTTTCTGCTAGATGATGCTGTGTTAGTTTTTTATCTCTGGTCTAATTGCTGTCATGATTTTTAGTCTGTGTGTCTTTGAAAAGCTGACTTTAGAATTAGCTAATAGTAATTTGCTTAATAAAAATATAAAGATAGGAAACTGATATTTAGTGAAACATGAAAATTACTTAAAAATCCATTTAGTCCAATTTATATGTAATCAATCAAATGGAGGCTGGGGAATGCTAGGGGGAATGGTGCAGTGCAGCTAGTAAGTACATTGTCAGTGGGACCTTGTCTAGACTTCCATATTTCAGACCAACAACAGGCATCATTTTAGTGTTAAACTACTGTGATTATAAGGAATATTTCTGATGTCTCTGATAGTTGGTGTGGATGACTACAGCTCAGAGTCTGATGTCATTATTATACCTTCAGCCCTGGACTTTGTCTCACAAGATGAAATGTTGACGCCTTTGGGAAGACTGGACAAGTACGCTGCAAGTGAGAACATATTTAACAGGTATGCTTTTTAAATATTCTGTCTGACTAACAGTATGCAAACTATTAATCTCATTCACATCTGACTGGAGTTAATTTGCATGAAATACAAATAATTTTTTAAAAATTGACAACTGTACAAAAAATAGTTTCCTGTCCTAAATCTATTGATACTCTTACAGAGCAAAAGATTAATGTTAACAGAAAAAAGTTTGCTTACCTTTTAAGCAATTGTAGTTCAGGTCTTTTTGAATTTTTTTCTTTAATTAGACCACATCCTCTTGGGCTTTTTGTTGATGTGAACATTCCTGTTGACACAGGCCTAAATTATAATAGTAAATTTTATCCATAGCTCTGTAACTTTAAGAACATTTTTCATCGAAGGTCAGGAGAGGATAATGGATAGTACTGTAGATTGCCAGGAACCCAAGAATTGTTCTGCAGGATCATCCTTGTTTGTGGTTTACAGTTTGAATATTATTGCTTCTGTTTTTTGAAAATGAAAAACTGCTGAAAAGAAGGTTTTACCTTACCCAGTTAGTACTGTTGTCTGCATTTTCCCCTTTTTATTTCTGTAATGCCACTGAGCTAGTTGTTCCATTTGAAAGCAAAGGTATTGTAGCATACTAGAGACAGACACACCTCTCACCCCATTCCCTGCACACAGATGCTCTGCAATGGAATGAAGAAATTCAAAGCCAGCATTTATTTTAATTGTAACTGCAAACAGTTACAAGATCATGGAAATGTATAAAATATGTTGAGGTTTTATGGTGTTTTATTTTAACATAGTTTAATTTGGGCTTCAAGTAGATCTTTAATAAAGTATGTTTGCTTTAATGTTGAATTCTTAGTTCAGTACTATGTGCAAGACAAGTCTGTGATCAACCACACTGTAGGTTAGCCTCTATTTTATTGTTTGTGGCCTGAGTTCTGTAAGGGTTTAGCCCTGTTCTTAACTTCAGTCATGTGAAGTATACTTAAAATTCCATACTACGTGTAGGAACATACCCTGCTTGAAAGGTTTTCATTCTGATTGAACTGAAGCTAACAATTATAGAATGGTTTCTCTTATGATAACCTGCATAAATCTTTATGCATTAATTAGTTCTGAAATACCTGATTTTAAAGTTTTGTGTTTTCCTGAAATACAAAGCTTGTGGTATTTTGCAATTTGAAATGAAATCAGCAATTTGCCAACCAGGAGAGAGTTTTTGCATGATTGACTTCTCATTGGGAGGAAGGGAAGAGGAGCCTTTAGGGCCATAGGTGACAATTCTGTAATAAAAGCCAGTACAGAGGAGAACAAACTCAGAAGCTCAAGTTGTGTGACTTGAATATTAAATAATAGTGTTCCTAATATTTTCCTTGCCCATTCAAGAAAAAACTGTCTTTCTGAGTCTCTCAGTGTGGATTGCATGGGGTATGCATAAGCTTGAAATGTTTTTGATGGTGGTGCCCACCTTTATGCATCCTGTGCTTGCCTTCTGCAGGGGAAGATGGGTAGAGTAAGGGTAGTTTTCCTTGGGGTTTTCTTGTGTTTGCTTATGGGTTTCCCTTTCCCCCCCCCCTTTCCCCCCCTCCTAAACATGTTGTTTAATCCTAGCTCTCTTTGTAGGTTTCCTGTACTATGTAGCATAAGAAATTAGAGAAAAGAGTGATATAACTGCTACTCACTATCATACGGTGTGATAGTGACTAGCTAGTGCAGACAGTTTATGGTGATTGAGCATTAGTCAGTCTTGGGAGAAATATGGATTGTTTTTGTATGGATGAAGTGGAGCTTTTCATAGGGAAAAGATAAAAATACATTACTTATCTCTAATGTAATTTATGTCTCTTAGTATGGGACTTACTCTCATAAGCAATTGGTATCACATCGAATTGCTTATGTGTAGTTCAGCATAATTTTTTATTATGATTAAGTTACTGATGTTTCAGTTGTTTCTGTGTCCTTGAATCTGCATTTGTATGGAAGCTTCAAATTATAGGTCCCCAAGGCCTTGAAACATAAACACTGAACCTAGATCAATTAGGCTAATTTTTTTTTTTCTTTGAATAGATGAATTTGCTTTTCGTGTGTTTGTTTGGTTTTGTTTTTTTTTTGGGGGGGGGAATTACCTTTAAGTGTTATTTCTCTTTGAATTTGTTTTTATTACAATTTTTGATTTGGTTAGTCATCTACATATGTATAATAATTGCAGTGTGTGATTATATTGAGTTATTAAAGTGAATTGATTTTTTGACAGTAACTGCAAAAGCTTAGTTTCCTTTGAGTGGACTCCTTGAGGTCTTAAGATTTCTCACGTGGTGTCTGAAGGCCTAAGCTGTTTGCTCTCAGATAGAAATGGATCTATGTTTGCAACCTAAGGAATTTTAGAAGATAGGACTTGGAACCTGCAAATAGGAATTGCTTCTTCATTTAAGTTATATTTGATATGGTGAACTAAAAAAAAAATGAGGGAGGGAATCCTTCAACAGCTTCCCAAATGGTGGAAGGAGTGGCAGTGTGACAGTTTTTGATATGTTATGGTGTATGTCCTTACTGTTGCAAGTATTGCTGATCAGCACCACAGACCTTGTCATAGTCTCCAAGAATTGAGGGGAACCTGACAAACATGACCTCTTTTGTTTCCGAAAGCCAAGGCAAGTAGAACTCTGGTTATGGTTTTATTACTAAAGAGGCAGCCTCCAGACCAGAGTTGAGAAGCACCTCTAGCATAAACTTTAAAAATCCAAATGTCATGTTGCAGCAAGTACAGATGCTGAACAGAAAGCCAAGACTATCCTGAAACACAGCGTCTCCTTGTGTCTGGTAGCACTGATGTGTGTGCATGCACGCATGGATGAGTATTCCATTTTGCTGTTTTCTTTAAAAACCAACTGCTACTGCAGATTGGAGCATAGCTTTTGTCTCTTCCCACTTCAAAAATCCTTTGTGGGTTTTCCCAAGCTTCATTGCCATTGACTTGCTTCCATTCTTCATTAAGAAGGCTCAGAAGTATACAATATTCACCAACAGATCTTTTTGAATAGTGAGGCAGTTCCTGAACAACAGACCTTTCCCTTCACTCAGCCTACTATTTGAGGAATTGTTGTTGCCCTTTCTCTTCAAACTGAAGCAGATCTTGGCAGCAGACTCTCATTCCCCAGAATGATCAGTCTTGGCTATCAGACCATGTCTACAAATCATTGTAGGTACTTTTCAGCTATCCTCTTGCCATGCTTCTTTGTGTTCTGAAGTACTTCTTTGCTTTTCCCCTGGGAGAATCCATCTGATGTCTCTGGAAATAGTTTTTCTGAAATAGTTTAACTTAAAAATACTTGCAGAGCTTCACTCAGAAGTAGCTGAGGATATATTGGGTCTCAAAGAGGGATTAAGCATAGCTGGGTGTGTGTTCGTGTACAGTGTATCAGTAGCACTTCTGCTGTCTACAGTGTAGGTGAAGATTTGGCCTAAAGCATTCTGGGTAATTTGTCTTTTTTTTGGCTAAAAGGTATGATTCTCTTAATTTCACAACACAGACCTGAGGGTTTCTCATGGTTGGTGGAACATAGCCTGCTTGCTTTCTAGGCTCCAAAAGAACGATTTGGATCAGAAAAGAGACTGTACCACATGTTGCAATGAATTCTTTTGATGTAGTTTTCTGATTCCTGACTCCAACAGTCACAATATAAACCTTGATTTTAGATGTCTGTGATTCTGGAAAATAGTCTAAAAGTTTTTAGAGTATATGCTCTGTGTCAGGAACTGAATGACCAAGGAATTAAGGGTAATGATAAATTTAGGATCCATCTGGGCTGTACTATAAGCCTTTGCAGTTCTCTGCTCTTTTGCAGATTCAAGAATGTAATTTTACTGTGTATTTAAAAACTAGGTCTTGCATGCAGAAAGTGCCCCCACTAAACCAGAAGAATGCTGTTTTCATTCATTTGTGCTGTGCTGTGTATCAAGAAACCTCTCTAAGACAGTATGTTTGGTGGGATGTTAAGAAGCTTGTCAAGACCTTCCTCAAGCGTAAATAATTACCTTGGCTTATTTTCATTTAAGTATGATCAAATTAAAACCAGGAAGTTAACTGAGAATTTGGCTATCCACAACTGGAGTTAATTTTTCTCCACACTCATTTTCCTTCTGTCTGTGCAGTCTAGGCCAGTCTAAGCTTTCAGCCTTTTGGGGTATTCTTTGAGTACTGACAATAAGGAAATGCCAAGCTCATACCAAAGCCATGCAGGTGAAACCAGTGGCATTCATTCTGACTAGGACACTTTCCATAATCTGGGGATAAATTAGGTAATTTCTCCTAAACTGTAACTCTCCTTTCCTCTTTTTTCATGTTTTAGTTTTTCTGAGTCCACTGTGCATCAAAGAAAAAAATTTAGTAAAAATGAACCAAACCTCAAAACGCATTTTTGTGAACAAATTTGCAGATACATGCATACCAAATAGATTACTTAAGTTTAACTTTCACAATGTAGATTGAGAAAGTTTACCTTTGTAAGTAGACATTAAAATGATATAAGCATAACTATCAAAGGACAGAATTTTCCCAAAACACTAAGAGATATCTTATGTACTTCAACAATACTGAATGCATCTCTGTGTATTTGGCCTTTCTTCTTAAGAAGGGTAAAAACATGTTGATTTCAACATTGAGAGTTTAGTCAAGCTATCCTTTGAGATTGCTTGGGGAAAACAGTGCTGGGCTAAGTTACTACTACCAATATTTACTTACATGTGAAATGTTACGAAATCTTGATTGACAAGTTTTGCAAAAATGGGCAAAGAAAAAATACATTCCTTCCTTTTCTTAATATTTTATTTTTTATTATAACATGCTTACTAGCTAAATGCACTCCTGGTGCAGATGAACTAATTTAAATTGTACAGTAGACTTTATTAAAGGGTTAATTAATAAATAAGTTAATAATGAATGAAGGACTAATGATGCTGATTGGTACACAGTAATCATACCAATTACAACTCCCATTATTGATTGCAAATAAGGTCAAAGGAGTGTG